AAAATGAAGGCACTGACACTACGTTTACAGATTAAATTATCAGTTATCCAGCAAACAAGTGGCATTTTTAAGATCAAAATGAAGGCACTGACACCACTAGGCCACATCTCAGGACATTACTGAATGCATGAAAATGCTCAAAGCAAGGAAGCATTCCCTAAGAGAAGACATTTCGTGCCAGCAATTACCTCATAACACTTTTAATGAAAGGTCAGTGAAATTTCTTTACAAGTTATTTTGCTAGATGTTTTACAGAAGACAGCCAACAACGAGATTGAAACACTTTTTGAACCCATTGTGCTAAAGAAGAGTTCAGAACGAACAGAGTCAAACATTTCTTCGATGGAATTTCTACTACAAGTTCTCATTCTCTAGCAATGCTGTTCCTGGCATTCTGTAGTTTCACATGAACAAAATAAAAGGTTCCTTTTATAAAACCATAGCCTGTGAGCGCTGAAAGAGACCTAAGGGCTCATCTAAGCCAACCTCTTTTTAGGAAGGAGGACAGCAAAGCCCCCAGCGGGTGTCCCTCTGCTAAGCAGTGAGTGGCAGAGCAGATATTTACTATACATCTGCTTTCCTGCTTTTCAAAATGTTTAACGAACTCTTTCAAAAAAGATTTGTATGGACAGGAATCTGTGCCTTAATAAAGGCTGCGCTCTAGTGTTTTGGAATTCCGCAAAGATCCCTCAGTGGACACTTAGTGGCTGTGATTAAATTTAGTTCCAGACCATGTTAAAGAACGAGACAGTCCACTTGACCCAATCGATTAATCAGCACCAGTAATATATGTTACTAATGTGACAATCCCTGAAGAATTGCCTGACCAAGTTAAAAGCAGAGTTTGGTTAAAATAAGCACTGACCACTGCAGTGATCTGACACACACACACACACATGCACAATCCATTGTGCGGCAACCTGACCTTTCAAAGAACCGATCCGTAACGCTGCAACTTTTTTGGGCTTTATTAATCGACGAGACTGCCCGCCTAATCGATAGACTTCGCAGACCCGCCCGCGAGCGGGCGAATAGGGCGGACTTCTGGAGGAAACGGTCCGGCCCGGCTGCCTCTCGAGTGACTACGGCCTGCCCTCTATTTCCAGAGCGTTCGGGCTGGTGGGGAACACCAGGCTGCAAGGCACGGCCCGAGGAGCACGCAGGCCACCCTGAAGGTCCGCCTACGAGAACGCCCAGGTTACTTACGTTTTCAGTGTCTCGTTCATTCACTGTTGGCAATGGGGTCCTAGTGGACATTTTACTGCACTTTAATTCTGCACAAAGCGAGGGTGAAAACAAAACAGCACAGCCCCAGAAGGCCGGCGACCAGCGTCCTCGAGTCCACGGCAGTTCTGGAGCGGCGCCGTGGGGAGGGCGGCTCCCTTCCCCCTACGGCTGTCTAGATCCCGGGCCTGGCCCGGGCCGTACCCCGGCGGGTACCGGGGCTCATTCTCTCCCTGCCCCGGCGGCCGCGGCGAGGAGCCCGGGAGGGCGGCAGTGGCGGGGCTGAGGCTGCAGGCGGCGTGCTGCGCTTCCGCCCGCCGGCGTCCCCTCGTCTCTGGGCGCCCCGCGAGCCCCGGCCCCCTGGCCTCCTTCTGCACTCCCGCCCGTCGCGCCGCGAATTTCAGCTCGCGGGCCTCCACACAGCGCCGCCGGCGGCCCCTGAAAAACAGGAGGCAGAGGAGGATGTGAAGGAAGTGGAGCGCAAGACAGGCCGCCGCGGGCTGTAGGCGCCGACCATGGAGCAGCCTGCGGAGAAGACGCCTGCGCCAAGCTGCTTCTCCCTCTCCAGCGAGCTTGCTGCCTCAGCCTCCGCCCTAGTGGCTGCCGCTACCTCTGCCGCCGCCGCCTCCGCACCCCGGCACCTCGGAGCCTCACGGACTCAAGATGGCCGCCCCTCGGCTTCCTCTGCTGCCTCCTGCTGCCGGAAGTGACGACACGCCGCCTCCCGGAGTCCGGCCAATCAGCGTGGCCTGGGAAAGCCGGCCCGGTTGCTGTTGCTAGGGGCGACTTGGTCCAGACCCCGCTGCGGGGGCGGTGCAGAGGGCTGGGAAGTGCCGGCCGGGTCTCCGCTGACTCCCGCGGGCTGCGGGTTCCTCCTGTCAGGAGCGCGCGGGCAACCCCGAAAGAGCCGGGAAACGGCCCTGGGCAGCAGCCAGAGCCCTCCCGCTGAGTTGGCATTTACAGACTACAGGCCTGGCTTGGCTGGATTACAGATCGAGAGCCTACTATGCGCAGAAGTTGCGGTTGCATCCCTGGGACTGCGCAGCACCGAATGGAGGCACAGAAGCAATTAATGACGGGGCCGGGGTTACGGGAAGGAGCCGGGCTCCTGCATCCTTAACTGTGACCCGGGCGTCAAGCTCTCGCCAGCAGACCTTCCTGTCTCCAGATCCGAGCAGCTGCGGTCTGGGCGCACACCCCGAGGGCAGCAGACGCCTCTGGCCCTCAAGGAACTGCTGGTCAGGCGGGTGGCAAACCCGGACCCAGCAAAATGCCATCCGGATCGAAGACTGCAATAACGAGGGTGGCACAAAGGAGATGTGGCCGGGGGCGACACGAATGTGTAGAGGCCCCACCAGCTCCTAAATGCCTATGGGGGATTTGTAAGCAGGCTTTTCTTGCAGTCAGTGCGTAGCTGCTGGAAGGCTGGAAGCATCTCTGCGTGCCAGCCTCGGCCAAGCTGGGTAGACGCCTGCAGGCTGGAACTCTGGAAATGCTACCTGTCCTGGAAGCCATCCTTGCCAGTTCACCTCTTCACGTGTTCGGTGCCTCTGCTCAGCTCCTAGCCAGCGGTGGATGGAATCCATGGGTGCAGGGTCCAAAGAGGGAGAGTAGTGTGGGGATGGAGGTGACACGAACTGTTACTGGGGGTCGAGTCTACCTTGTGAGTTCATGACATTTGTTACTCCATTTAGCCTCAGGGTAACCCTATGAGATGGGCAGACTTGCGATCTAAAGTCTAGACAGGTACAGTGACTTGGCTAAAGTACCCAGGTTGGTTAGCAACAGAGCTGGGGTTCTAACCTAGTTCCCAAAGCTTGGATAATAAGCCCTTGTTGTGGGTGGCTATGTCATGCTTGCTTTTCCTTTGGTCCTTGGCATCCCAACTGTCTTGCTATGTTTGAGAAATTTCTTGCTCCAGGAAATATATGTGTATTTAAATGCCAGATTCACTCCCAGAGAGGCCAGAGGCTCCCAATGTTAAAACACCTGAGGACTAAGATAACACTCGGGGCTCCCATCTAACCCTCACAGGGGAGTGCTCAGGGGGCCAAGAGTGGTTCTATTTAAAATGTGAATAGGGGCCAGCACGGTAACCCTAACACTTTGGGAGGCAAGGTGGAGGTGGGCGGGTTGCCTGAGCTCAGGAGTTTGAGACCAGCCTGGCCAACATGGTGAAACTCCATCTCTGCTAAAATAAAAAAAAAAAAAAAAAAAAAAAAAAAAAAAAAAAAAAAAAAAAAAAAAAAAAAAAAAAGCCAGGTATTGTGGTGCGCACCTGTAGACCCAGCTACTTAGGAGGCTGAGGTGAAAGAAACTCTTGAACCTGGGAGGCAAAGGTTGCAGCGAGCCGAGATGGAGCCACTGCACTCCAGCCTGAGCAACAGAGCAAGACTGCATCTCAAAAAATAATAATAAATAAATAAACAAAATAAAATAAAGGGAATAGGGAAATGGCGTGCACGTCTGTAATCCCAGCTACTTGGGAGTCTGAGGTGGGAGGGTCACTTGAGCCCAGGAGTTGGAGACCAGCCCGGGGAATAGAGTGAGACCTTGTCTCTACAAAAACTTAAAAAAAAAAAAGGGGGGGTGGGTGCAGAAGGACAATGCCACTGCACTCCTGCCTGGGAGACAGAGCAAGACCCTGCTTCAAAAATAAATAAATAAATAAATAAAAAGTTATTCTCTTTCTCCTTCTGGCCAAGCAGAGTTAGTGGAATTCCCATTAGTCCAATGTGTGCTCCGCACACTTTTGACTACAATGTGGGTGAGCATAAGTTGTGGGAGACCCAAGCAGGGACATTTAGCCCAACTTGGGCGCTTGGGTCAGAAACGGCTCCCTGGGGGAGAGGATGTTTATGCTGAGTGTAAAAGCATGAGCAGAGTTAGCCGCGGGAGGATGGGTAGAAAGGAGAGTCCAAGCAAAAAGATGGCCTAATAAGCACTGCGGTGAGAAGCCACATGGTGGGTCTGGGTTAGCATCGGGAGAGTGGGATTGCAGGAGAAGGCAGGAGCCTGACGGGTTTGGACAGAGCACAGCATCTGGTTCTGCATCCCATCCTGATAAGACTTGGGAAAACACCCCAGAAAGGATTTCAGCCTCAGGCAGGAGCTGCAAGAAAGGATATGGGAAATTCAGAACCGTCCGCATTGGCCAGAGAAGTAGCTGGGGAAGGAGGTTTCCACCCAGGTGCTATTCTCACCAAAGCCACATGTGAAATAATGAGTCAACAAATCCCAAAAGTTAGGAAATGAAGATAATAGTACTTAACTCAAGATGCTTCTGGGTTTTGTGAAGGCTAGAATTAAATGCCTTGAACTTTTCCTTGCACTTATGTTAAATGACATCATGACACTGTAAAGAGCTGGAGATAGATGTGTGTGTTTCTTTTTTCTTCTTTCTCTGTCTTCCTTCCTTCCTCTCTTTCTTTTTCTTTCTTTCCCTCCCTCCCTCCCTCCCTCCCTCTCTCCCTTCCTTCCTCTTTCTTTCCCTTTCTCTTTCTTTCCCTCCCTCCCACCCTTCCTTCCTCCCTCCCTTCATTCTTTCTTTTCTTCCCTTCCTCCCTCTCTTCCTTCCTTCCTCCCTCCCTTCCTTCCTGCCTCCCTTCCTCTCTCCCTCCCTTTCTCCCTCCCTCCCTTCCTCCCTCCCTTCCTTCCTCCCTCCTTCCCTCCCTTCCTTCCTCCCTCCTTCCCTCCCTTCCTTCCTCCCTCCCTTCCTTCCTTCTTTTCTTCCCTTTCTCCCTCCCTCCCTTCTTTCCTTCCTTTGTTGTTACTTGAGCCACACAGGGTCTTGCTCTATTGCCCAGGCTGGGACACAGTGCTGTGATCATAGCTCACTGCAGCCACAAACTCCGGGGCTCAGGTGATCCTTCCGCCTCAGCCTTCTGAATAGCTAGGACTAAAGGCATGCACCACCACACCCAGATGATTTTTATTTGCAGAGCTCAAGTCTTGTCCAAAGTAAACTCCTAGCCTCAAGCAAACCTCCCATCTCTGCCTCCCAAAGTGCTGGGATTACAGTTTTGATCCACTGTGCCCAGCCACTTGGGTGTGTGAGTTACAAGCAAAAAAGCAAAGAAGAGGAGGAGAAGAAAAAGTAAAACATTGTTCTGTTCGCAGGACTCTCTGTGGCCCAGGATTTTCATATTTCTTTTTTTTTTTTTTTTTTGAGACGGAGTTTCGCTCTTGTTACCCAGGCTGGAGTGCAATGGCGCGATCTCGGCTCACCGCAACCTCCGACTCCTGGGTTCAGGCAGTTCTCCTGCCTCAGCCTCCTGAGTAGCTGGAATTACAGGCACGCGCCACCATGCCCAGCTAATGTTTTTTGTATTTTTAGTAGAGACGGGGTTTCACCTTGTTGACCAGGATGGTCTCGATCTCTTGACCTCGTGATCCACCCTCCTCGGCCTCCCAAAGTGCTGGGATTACAGGCTTGAGCCACCGCGCCTGGCCTAGGATTTTCATATTTCTTGTTTCCTGTGTTCATATTAAAATAGTTTGTACCTTGGGGCCCCAACCTGAAAAGATATAACTAAATTTACCAAGCTGTATATGTGCATAAGCAGTACTTACTTTCATGGCAGGAAGGAAGGCACCATGAAACATCAGAAGCTGGAGATAATCTAGCCCTACTGTGTCCCTGTGGGACAGATGAGAAACTGAGTCTCAAAGAGGTGACATGCCACCTCTTAGCCATTAGAATATCTACTACTAAAAAACAGAAAATAACAAATTTTGGCGAGAACGTGGAGAAATTGGAAACTGTGCACTGTTCATGGGATGTAAAATGGTGCAGCTTCTATGAAAAAGTATTAAGTTTCTTGAAAATAATTAGGAATAGAATTACCATATGATCTAGTAATCCCACTTCTAGGTAGATAGAATTGAAAATACAGTCTCAAGAAAATATCTTTCCAAGGCAGGTCACAGAAAAAAAAAGAAAAGAAAATATCTGCCCACCCATGTTCATGGCAGCCTTATTCACAATAGCTGAAATGCAAAAGCAAAGCGAGTGTCCATCCGTAGATGAATGGCTAGACAAGATGTGGTATGTTCGTGCAGTGGAATATTATCAACCTTAAAAGGAGGGAAAATTCTGGCCGGGCGCGGTGGCTCACGCCTGTAATCCCAGCACTTTGGGAGGCCGAGGCGGGTGGATCACAAGGTCAAGAGATCAAGACCATTCTGGCCAATATGGTGAAACCCCATCTCTACTAAAAATACAAAAAAAAAAAATTAGCTGGACATAGTGGTGCACGCCTGTAGTCCCAGCTACTCAGAGGGAGGCTGAGGCAGGAGAATTGCTTGAACCCGGGAGGCAGAGGTTGCAGTGAGCCGAGATCATGCCACTGCACTCCAGCCTGGTGCCTGGCGACAGAGTGAGACTCTTCTCAAAAAAAAAAGGAGGGGAATATTCTGGCATTAGCTACAACATGGACGAACCTTGGGGACATTATGGTGAGTGAAATAAGTCAAACACAAAAGGACAAATTCTATATGATCCCTCTTCTCTGACTACCTGGCGCAGTCAAATTTATTGAGACAGAAAGTAGAATAGTGGTGCCCATGGGGAGGAAGAAATAGAGTTCTTGCTTAATGGGCAGAGTTTCCATCTGGGAAGATAAGAGACATGAGGACGGATTGCACAACAATGTGAAGGTACCCAATGCCATTAAACTGCACACCTAAAAATGGTTACGATGGTTTTATGTTTTATGTATTTTACCACAGTTCTATTTATTCACTTTTGAGATAGGGCCTCACTTTGTCACCCAGGCTGGAGTGCAGTGGCACAATCATAGCTCACTGTAGCCTCAACCTTCGGGGCTCAAGTGATCCACCTGCCTTAGTTTCCCAAGTAGCTGGGGCCACAGGCATGTACCAACATGCCTGGCTAAAATTTTGTATCTATATATTTTTTGAACAGATGAGGGTTTGCCATTTTGCTCAGGGTAGTCCCAAACTCCTGGCTTCAAGCAATGTTCCCACCTCAGACTCCCAAAGTGCTGGGATTATAGGCAGGAGCAACCGTACTCAGCCCACAATTTTAAAAACAAATAAAATAAAGAGATGGAATGAAAGCTTTAGAAGCTTTATCTGAAGCTGGACAACTCGTTAGCAACAGAGCCAGAATGGGGGCCCAAATCTTCCAAGCCCCAGCAGAGCCCCCAACATACACATAAGCACCAGAAAGAAAGTGTCCGGCTCCCTCACGGCACCTTTGAGCACTGCACTAGCGGTGAGATTGCCATCGTCCTGATTTCTTATGCAAAAAAATCAGCACCTGCTAGGGCCGGGCGTGGTGGCTCACGCCTGTACTCCCAGCACTGTCGGAGGCCAAGGCGAGCAGATCACAAGGTCGAGAGATCAAGACCATCCTGGCCAACATGGTGAAACCCCGTCTCTACTAAAGATAGAAAAATTAGCTGGGCATGGTGGCATGTGCCTGTAATCCCAGCTACCTGGGAGGCTGAGGCAGAAGAATCACTTGAACCTGGGAGATGGTGGTTGCAGTGAGCCAAGATTGCGCCACTGCACTGCAGCCTGGCAACAGAGCGAGACCCCATCTCAGAAAAAAAAAATCAGCACCTGTTTATTGGACCCACTACAGTTGGGTGGTGTGTTACTTGCAGCCCAGTGTGGTCCTAACCAGTACCATCATGCCGAGTGCCATATCTGCTGACCCACAGGCCCATGCTGTCTGCACCACATCTCTTTGAGGCTCGCCACCACATCACAGCCCTCACAAGCACAGCTGCTCCACCAGAGTATGGGGACTGCTGGGCCCCGGGAGCCATTCCTCAGTGCGTGTGTGTATGTGGGTGTGTGTGTGCGTACATAGATATGTTGCAGACCAAGAGCTGAGCATGAGAACATGCAGAGCCACAGAAATGGAGAAAAGCAGAGTGTGATAATTACGAGACATTGGGGTCATCATGCTGGCGGCAGGGGTAAGAGGAGGGGCCGGGCAGTAGGTGTTCCTGGGACACTCCAGGTAGGCCCCAGATACTTGGAGTCTTTGGGAAATACGAGGTCCGTTTGGACTCCATGCCAGGCTGCTGCCCCCTACATCGAGGATGAAGGCAGGCAAGCTGCCATTCTTTTAATGTACCTCTCCAGTCCCCTTC